CTTGTGCGTTAACAGTAGTGCTATCACCAACACTAATACGGACTTTGATAATCTGCTGCATATTCAAGAATGCCACTAGTATTACCAGCATGAACACTCATATTATGGCTATTACGAGTATAAATAGTCCTACTTCTACTAGTATTGACATTAATACTCCTACGAATACCAATAGTATATTCATATTGATATGAAAACTAATACCATTACTAATAGACACCTGCATATACTCATGTACATAAAATACGTACCACTATCTGAAGATACAGATATATACATCAGTGCATTCATGTATTAATGCTTTGGCATAGGCATATACCCATATACCAATGTATCAATATACTTCTCGTTGTTGTATGAATATACTATACGAATATGTGACTATAATCATATACGGCTACTGCACTATGCAAGAATACCGACATGACAAGTTCGTATACTAATATGCCAACATACTGATATACTTATACATGATTAGATAAAACAGTAATATAGTACACATATTCGTACACTAATATGCTAACGTACGAATATACTGGTATGTCAATATACTAGTAAGCTAATACAGCAGTATAGTAGTGTAGTCATGCACCAGTTGTACTAACATGTAAAATATACTAGTATACAAGTATGCAAATATTTTGCTGTCCGAATACATTGATGTATTGATATACTAATCTGCTAATATACGAGACTATCAATATACTAACATATCAAAACTAACTAGTTCTAATATTGATACTAATACTAGCACTTCTGCGAATATAAGCTGCTGTTAAACCCAGCATTAAGACTGATACTGATACTACTCGTAGCAGTGGTGCTGTATTACTGACATTGACACTGGCACTAGCGCTAACTCTAACACGAACATGAGCACTAACACTAATTTATAGTTGGCAATATTGATACGTATACTTACAGCAAGCAATAGTACTAATATTAATAACAATACTCACCCTAATACCGATACTACCACAAGACTATTACGTAACTCATGTGCCGCACGTCTGGTGCTATACTATATACCTCATGTAACGGTTTTGCTTCACAGAATATCGTTGTCCACGGTGTTTTTTAGACCCGTGGTCTGTCACCGGGGGGGGGGTGAGCGCCTATATCCATCAGTCCAATGCCATGGCTGAGCGTGCGATCAGGACTGTTACGGAAGGCACCAGAGCGAATCTGGAGCAAGCCGGTTTGGCTCATGCTTATTGGCCCCATGCCTTACAACATGCTTGTGTTGCCCATAACATAAGCCATCCCAATGGTACGAAGTACTCTTCATGGACTTTGCGGTTCGGCAAGGACTTTCATGGGCCATTGATTCCATTTGGTTGCCGAGTAGACTACTGGGTCGGTACTCGAGAACAGCGGAAGCTGCAAGGGTACGAAAGATTTGAGAGTTCATCAGAACATGGGATCTTCATGGGTTATCACTTCCAACCGGGAATGCGTTGGCGTGAAGAGATGTTGGTAGTTCCGATATCCAAGCTGAATGGAAGTGACTTCTACGAGTACCACAAGCCTACGAAGGTGCATCAATTGAAAGTGCCTGACGGTGAGTTCACTTTCCCCATGGTCGAACGTTATAACCGTGTCCGAGACGGGCTAGCGCATGACGCCATCGAAAAGCCTGTCGTTGAATCTCTGAGAAATCAGGATGCGGAACCAGTCGTAGATCCTCCTGGGGACGGTGAGGCTGAAGTAGAAGTACCTAAAGTTATTGATCCCAAATCAGGTGACCTCGTTGAGTTGCCCGAAGGCGGACGATTCTATGACTCCAGTGGAACTCTTGGTAGGAGATATGGAGGGTCCAGAGGTTCAAAGAAGCCGGATAGCATTCCTTCTCATATATGGGTCAATTTGTCCAAGAGGCAGAAAGATAAGGCGATAGCGGAAGAAGCATCGAAAATCGCTAGGGAATATCATGAAGGTGCCGATCGGGCAGGTGGCGGATCATCGAGTTCAAAGCCTGCTGCAACGCTTGGTGCATCCCGAGATCGATGGGAGATCAAGGGAAACAAGTTAGTGCGGTATCATTGTGTTCCTAGACGAGAACTTTTCTCTCCTGATATCACCGATTGTCCCATTCCCACTTCTAGGATAAAGCCGACAAGGATCTTGCAGATCATCCCCGTGGGAACGGAGGACACTGTTGCTGATGAAGATGATTGGACAAACCCGCGAAGAAGGAACAAGAAATTGCCTTTTAGATGGACCGGCAAAACCATCTTTGAGATCCTACCCTTGGGTACTAGCAGTGCTCATATCGTGGGGGAACCCTATCCGACTATGCCAACGATCCCACGAAGTGGGGAACATCGCGAAAAGATTGGTAATGACCACCAGTTCACCCAATCTGAGCTGGAAGTTATGATGGCCTTAGTGGCTCGTCCGGTTGGCAAGAAGGAGCTCGCGGAGAACAATGACGCCCAGAAATCACTTGACGTGGAATGGGATAAGTTGATGCAAAAGCGAGCATGGGACATGGATAACCCACGGGAGTGGTCTGAGATCTCGGCGGAAGCCGTCAGACGGGGTCGCAAGGCCCATGTTGGACGTGTTTTCGAAATCTGTGTAGAAAAAGGGAGCGAACTCCCCAAAGGAAATCCCCTGAGGAAATTCAAAGGCCGTACGGTCTTCCAGGGTAATAATGTCCAGGACGAAAGCAGCAACGCCGCCCTGTTCTCGGAGTTAGGTTCGAGCCCTGCTTCGATGGAGGCTGGCAAGGTGCTGGATACGTACGGATCTCAGCCAGGTTTCGCCTGTGAACAGGCCGACGGTAAGCAAGCTTACACTCAGACGACGTTGAAAGGTGCTGAAACTTGGGTTCGATTACCAAGGGAGCGGTGGCCTAAGTCCTGGGTTGGCAAGTTCAAGGATCCAGTAGTTCGGCTTTTCCTTGCGCTGTACGGACACCCTGATTCGGGGGGCTTCTGGGAGAAGCATTGTGAGCAGAGACTCAAACAAGTGGGTTTTGATCTTCTGTTTCCCTCTTCGTGGCCTTCGGTTTTCTTTCATCCTAAGCTTCGCCTACTCTTAGCCGTCTACGTTGATGATTTCAAGATGGCTGGACCTGTTGAGAATATGCAGGAAGGGTGGAAGCTGATCGGGTCCAAGATCGATATGGATAGCCCGACTCCACTTGGAAGATACCTTGGGTGTGAACATGTAGAGAAGAAGAAAGTTCAACTGGGAACAGCTGACCATCCCTTTGCCCACATCTTTGATAAGAGTATTCCTGACCCAGCGGCCAAACCTTCGGTTCCGGCTACGTCCCAGGATTATACGGAGTACTTTCCTGATGAAGGTGTTATTGTTCGCCATCATATGCAGCCTCGCAAAGCTAAGTATGCTGTTAGCGCTGCGGAAGCAGACGTCTTGAATATCGGCGACCTGCGGTTGACCGAACGTCAGCTTCTTGGAAGTACTTCTGCAGAAGAACAATGGGACGATGGTTTCCGGGGGGGTAAGGCTTCGGGACTTTGGACGGGAACCACTTACTTGTTTGATCGTGGTATTGATAAGCATCATGCCGTGGCTGCTGTTAAGCGCATTCGTGACAAGAACACAGCTAAAAAGGAAGCTAGGAAACAGGCTTTCTATGACATCAGCCAATTGTCGAGTGGCACCGGATGCATGAAACAACCCGTCAACATCATCGAGTATGACATGAAGTCTTTTCTTGAACAAGCTGTACAAAAGTACAAAGACCTTGCTGGCCCCAAATATCACACCCTTAAGTCAGCCTCTACTCCTTTCGCCGACGAGAAGATCGCGAGGCCCATCGACGATGAGGCCGAGGCAAAGGGTGAATTGGCTCCTATCGCTAGCCGAGTTCTGATGAAACTTTTGTTTGCTGCCAGGATGGCTCGTTATGATCTTTTACGGGCTGTTCAGGGATTGGCAAGCCGAGTCACCAAGTGGTCTGCTGAATGCGACCGGGCTTTACACCGATTGATGTGTTATGTGAATTCCACCCTAGATTTGAAGTTGAGGGGATTCATCGGTGACCCGATTGACCAGTGCAAAATATGGTTGTTTGCTGATGCGGATCATGCAGGTGAGCATGATAACAAGAGTACATCAGGATGCTTCGAGGCTTTGGTCGGACCAAACACGTACTTTCCTTTGGCGGCTTACAGCAAGAAGCAAACCTCAATTTCTATTAGTTCTACCGAATCCGAGGTCGTATGCGCCAATATTGCTTTGAGGACTGTTGGTTTGCCATCCTCCGCTTTATGGAGTGTGCTCCTGAAGGCAGGGGGGGGTTCAGACGCATCAAAGTCGAGCGCACCCCGGAAGGGAGATGCCTGTTTGGCCAAATTCCCAGATCAGGATGTTGCCTCTCAGGTACCGAAGACTGGTAGACATGAACTTATTGATTGTCGAGTAGCTGTTCTTTCAGGCGGTGACAGTATCCCTGAACCCGTTGAGCTCGCATCCCACCCTCTTCGAGATGTATGGTTGCTCCGGGGGGACAAATGGTCCAGAACAGAAGAAGCTGTCGCTTGGGAAGAGCTCGAGAATGCCTCCTATATGGTTCCGAAGGATGCTAAAGCCATCTTGTGCCTGTACCGGAAGTCATCATTGGAGTATCGTCGCTCTGCGGAAGCAGAAGCCGAATTGAATTATGAGGCTTACAAGCTCCGTCATGGACTTGGCGACTTCGAGTACACCGATGATGCAAAGATCAGATCCGATCATTCATTGATCATGGCTGCACCACATTGCATGCAACCTGTGATGTTAGAAGATAACCAGGCCACTATTAGGATCATGGAGTCCGGAAGGTCACCGGCATTTAGGCACACAGACAAAACCCAAAGAATCAATCTCGGATGGGTATCGGAACAGTTCAGAAGGAAGCATTATGATCTCGCGTACATTAGTACCTTGCTACAGTCTGCCGACATTTTGACTAAGCCTTTTACCAATATTGACAAATGGAAGAGAGCGATTTTCCTCATTGGCCATGTCTATGTCAAACCTTCAAGGCCTGCTTCGCCAATCGTCGTGCCGGACAACCTCGAGAAGAGGATCGAGCCCGAGAACAACGGGGTTCTCATCGAATGGGGACATGATCCGTCGTTCTCTCTGCTCGGAAGGGCAGACGATAGTGGTAGCGGTAGCCCATCTGTCGTTCGGGTCACTCATAGCATGGATCTTAACAGTACTCAGACGAGTAGGGACTTGCTCAAGGTCGTCAAAGGCTATGCAAAGTCGAATGTTCCCATTACCGTCTGGGTTGACCTGCGCTTTGCGGGGGGTCCTGATGATCGCAAACACTTTGGCAAGCTATGGTCTTCTTTCGTCAACTTAAGCACCGGATTGGATTTGAATAACTGCCATTACGTCCTGATTGCTCCCTGGGAACATTTCTCATGGAAGATGGATCGAGTTGTCAAGTGGTGTTCCAATCATGAGTGTACGAGTTTTGAACTTCTTGATGGCGAAAGATCAGGCAATTTAGGTCATTGGAGATTGCATACTTCCCACAAGAATTTGCCAAATGAAGTGATGAATTATTTTCATGGCTGTAAGCTCAAGAACATTTCAGAGCCACAATTTCCTGTTCGACAAGCTGCTGTTGCGGTACAAGTTACTCTGAGCGAAGAACCAATAGGAAGCGCAGCAGTGATGGCATCCTCTTTGCCCACCGTTTCTCTGGAGGAGCGTCGCCGACGCATCGAGGCTTTCCGCAGGGCTCTTAAGGACCCTGATTGCCTCGCGGAAGCGATGGCCTTCGAGGAACCGGCATATTTCAAGGATGCCTATGGCGTTGTGAAGGAGGCGTACCAGTACAAGCTGGTGGAGCCTGCGGAGTCTGATCCGCCAGAGGCCATTTTCCTCGGCCGTATCCGAAACGGCGAGTGGATTGGTCTGCGGAAGCAGTACCCCTATGCAGGTTTTCCCCTCCTGTATGAGATGTGGCACCGCCATTTCAACAGCCCGGCTCATCAGGGAATGCCGATTGAGGGCTTCGAGCTCCATGGCGATTCCCTCCTGACGGAGTGGACAGAACTTGTCAAAGCTTATCTCCGCGACCTGGCTTATGTGGGGCATGCCACAAACGCCGAACGGGCTCTCAAGGCCACTGAGCCGTTTGATGTCTGTCACAGAGCGTATGTGCTATCCCAGGAAACCCTGGGCTACCACGAGTTAATGCCAGCTGCCACGGCGTTGTTAGACTCGGTGTATACTCCAGCCCTCCGAAGAATCGAGCATCAAGAGCAACCAAGCTCGTATTTTATTATCGGAGGAGACAGCTCTCTCGCGTTGGTGACCCGCGGCGACGGTGGACGTGTCCTGATGAAGGGGACGATGGAACCGTCACTCCGGGAGGAGATGACCAAGGACATTCGCATGGATGGATGTTCGGTCGTCATGCGCTGGGGAAAAGGGCTTGGAGACATCGTGTGGCACGTGGAACAGGAGCTCAACCGAGTCCAGAAGTGGAAGAACGGCCAGGACCCGCTCGCACCGGAAGGTGTCGACATTATCATCCAATGGGGTGGTAATGACGTCTATGGCGAGTATGGGTACAAAGGCTTTTCCTTCCACATGCGCAATGCGTGGGTTCGTGTTGATGATGCATTGCATGACACCCTTTCCAATTGGGAGACCAAGGGACGCAAGGCCGTCGAGGACGCAAAAGATGCCCTGGTCCGTCTCTCATCCCGGAAGGGAGTGTCCTCTGTCACGTTGGTGGCTGGCCCCCACAACGGGGAATTCTACGGGCTCCCAGAGGTCTACGACCTGGAGATGGCTCGCCACTCCGATGAGCTGAAGGAGCGAGGGATCCGCATAGTCGATCCCCAGGCTCACATCCTTTCGACAGAGCGTTACGATGGGTTTCACATGGAGGCTACCCACGATAACGTGAAGGTAACCACTCGCTGGTTCTTTCACATGTGCTCTGCAATCATGTTCGAGCGGTGGCTTGTGAAGCACGCGATGGAGCTTAAGGCCAATTCGCGTGGCATCCTCTTTCACAACCACTTTCACCTCGGACTCGGCTTGGAAGAGCTCGACATCCCTCCTACCACGGACTTGCTCATCCCGGCGGAAGCTGAGATGGTGACTTTCCCACCTGAGGCACCGCCCGTGCAACGTTTCCCAGAGGAGGAGATTGTCTTGAACCAGCCGATCCTCAGCTTGGAAAAGCTTGACGAGCTTGAGGGTGTACCGCCCACTGACTATGTCAATGAAGTGGCGAAAGAGTCAGAGGAGCTCACGGTTGAGGATGTAGTGTCTCGTAACCCGAATCCGGAGGACGAGCACCTCACCGTGGAAGCGGTTGACCCCGGCTCGGAGATGGAACAAATCGTTCGGAAAATGATTGAGTCGGTGAACCTGGTGATGACGGATAAGGAGGCTGAAGAGGTCGCCCAGGAGACGGGTGTTGCTCCATACGAGTTTGTTGAGCCGAATGTCACAGCTACATCTGTCATGGATGGTGAGGCAGTCTCTACGATTGCTACTTCCGACATCCCGACGGAAGTCTGGGACTCCGGTCCGATGGCTGTGGACTACGGCGCAGACGATGAAGTGGAGCATCCCCGCGGAAGTGGTGGACCCATCTGGCTTACACCGGATCAGCTACCTGATGTCAAGGGTCGCATGGGATACTTTCGCCTCAATGAGATGGAGTGTGTTTCGTTGGGCAAGAAGCTGTCGTGGCACCTGCGTGGGCATGCCAAGGACAAGGGATTCCGCACTGTTGAGTTCGACGAAGAGCAGTCAGCAGAGATTGGTGATGTTTTGAAGGTCATTGGGAAACAGTGGTCCCGCCTGACGGTGATGACCATCATTGACCTGTTGACGTCCGATCACTGTGACAAAGCACGGTTCGAACTCCAGGCGGAAGCCTTGGACGAGGAGACGCGGTTGGGCCGGGGAACAAACTGGCACTTTACCCGTGTCCGAGCATTCCAAGGACACAACGCCTGCTTGCTCGTCCTCGACAGCGACCCGCTGAAGACCACTGTCAAACAGTGGGCCCTCGATGATCAGTGGATCCCGTCCTATGTTGATCTACCGATCACTGGTCCGTATCCTTATCGGGCAACGGCCTTCGATCTGATGCCAAAGCTGGCGTATCACGCCACATACTGGCGAAATTTCATCAAGATCGTCAACACAGGCCTCATCCCGGGAGGGAAAATGACCTCGAAGGGCAACAGCGGAAGGCCCTTCAGCATGTTCGCGATGGAGCCTCAGTGGGAACGCACCTCCAATCAGGGCGTCCGCCCTGGCGCGCAGCTGGAATTTGTGATAGACTTACAGCTCGCTGCTTGCGATGGCTGTCGGTTTTTCGAGACAAAAGCTGGAGCGCTGCAGACGCCGGATTGGATCAGCAACCGGGCCATTCTGTATGCATATGACCGGTCGACTCAGGAGATGATCTGGGCGAACCGAGCATACGAACCGGCGCGGAAGCGCTTGGCCCAGGCGTGCAAAGACAAGAGCCTCAACACGCCCATTTTTGGCGAGCGGGGTCACCAGGAACTGATCGATGCAAATGGCTATTGCTTCAACTACCTCGTTGCAGGCCTAGGGTATCGCAATTTCGACACCTGGAAAGACGCCGCTAAGGCATGCAAGGATGTCTATGACCTTGATTTCTACCCAACAAGCATGTGTGGTCTAGACATTCGCATCCCGGAAGGGCATGCCTTGCAGGGCTCTGAGTCGTTGTACAAGATGGTGGTTCACGTGGCTCCGAAGCACCCCCATCAGAAATGCAATGATGAATCGGATTGGCGCCGCCAAGAGAATGTCAGCATTCCTTCTTTTGCTTGCCCGAGCTGCGGTACATCCAACGTTGATGGTACAATCTGCTGCTATCGATGTGAGTCTCGACTGGAACCGCACTCAGATGTGAGCATGGCCTTGGAGAACACCCGTGCAAAGCAAGTTGCCGCCCGGAAGGGTGAGCCCCTGGATTACAGGGCATTGCAACCAAGCGGGGAGGTCAACTCCAATCGGGCTACGGGCAACAAGAGGGATCGAAGTGCTGGCTCTGGCCCAGCCGCTGTTCGTCAGCAGGCCGCTAAGTACCTCGGAAAGGCCTTAAAGGCGGGTTCTCGCACTGTTGTTGAGCGTCAGTCTCGTGATCCGTTCACGGCCTACAACAATGCAAGATTTGGCATATCCATCACGGGGCTTGAGCAACTCATGATTTTCGCCCGAATGAGGATCGCCAACCCGCCGAGGTCACGCCAGATGATCCATGACCGCACCGGCTTTGACGGCGCAGCAAAGGTGAGCTTCTCATTCCCACCGGAAGGTGAGGACCTGACACTTACGGACCACTGCTTTGTGGCGTTCGTGGACAGGTTCTACAAGCTTGACGAAGCCGCCTTGCTAGCGTTTGCCGTCCATCGCAATGGCTACGTTATGGACATACTGGGCTTCAGCGGTCGCATCTTGAAGCCGACCGGTCCAGTGGTACAGATCTTGGCTAGGATTGTGGGATTCTTCCAAGACGAGGTACGATATGCAGTTGAGCGCGGCGAACAGGTGCCTGAGCTGGTCTTACCTGCCAATCAGGAACTCCGCGTCCCGGAAGGGCTCGCCTCTCTTGGGGACAGACAGCTGAACGAGCTTCTCATCAACACGAAGTTCGCGAGACAGCTCCCCGGCGCCAAGGGCGTCAATGAGAGGATCGGATATGCCTTTCGAGCAGGGAGGACGGAGATCAGAGGCAGATCATCTCAGCCACCGATTCCTAAGGCGAGGCCTACTACTCGAGCGACTGGCAGTGCACAGCGAGCTGGCTCAGTTCCCCCGAAGCCACGAGCACGCCCACGCGACCCTTCTCCGGGAGTGGCAGCTACCCGTCTGCGGCCAACCGAGCCCAGCTATCCGCCACCCGGAAGGGATGTGCCAGGATCGTCAACGGATGCACCGATGCGTCCGCCCGAGCCAAAAGGGCCTCCACCAACGACCTTGGTTGTCGATTCAAGGGGGAACCCTATTGACCCATCGCAGTCGCGCCGACCGTACTTCACTCGGCATGATGCGCTGCTTTGGGCTCGCCTCAAGGCATCTCGGGACAAGAACGTTCCCAGAGGAATGGAAGATCGTGCGGTACCAGCTTTTCACGATTTGAACGACTTCCACCTCCTGGCACCGGAGCATGTGGGCTACTTCCTCGCTGGCTGGAAAGAGACCCAAAATGGGATCCGCCTGTACTGACTGCCGCGTCTTGTGCAGTACAGTAGCAGCTAATTAACATTTTCGGTTCGTTGTGCTGTATTCTCCACCCTGACGGGTCGGACATGTAAGAGTAGTTTATCTGCTCCATGTCCATTGTTCTGCCTCCCTGACGGGACGGCCTAAGTAAAGGGCCGGAACTGATGGGACATGGCACGTCAGGAGTGTTGAGATCTTTCTAAGAGCTTTGTTGCACCTAAGGTGTAAAATCAGCCTGCTTTTGCATTCGCAACATGTTGGTAGCATACTGTACTTCTACTTTCGCCTCTCTTCGCTGCCCTAAGAGGCGCGGGGGGTGTTTTATTGCTCTTTGTACGTATGTCTACCGACCTTTACTGTTGCTTGGCTCAAGACAAAAGTGTGTGTGCGATTCGTGCTATCGTGCACTATCTATAAAACCCTAAACCCTAAACCCCCTAAACCCTAAACCCCTAAACCCCTAAACCCCTAAACCCCTAAACCCTAAACCCCCTAAACCCCTAAACCGTAAACCCCTAAACCCCTAAACCCCTAAACCCTAAACCCCTAAACCCCTAAACCCCCGAACCCTAAGCCCTAAACCCCCAAACCCTAAACCCTAAACCCTAAACCCCTAAACCCCTAAACCCCCGAAACCCCCGAAGCCCTAAACCCTAGGTGCCCTCCGGCGCCGGGAGGGGGGCCCTGGAGCCGCCAGAAGACCCGAGTCAAGCCTTCGATGCAGATCCTGGGCTCCTTTAAAGGGATCTATAAGGGATCCTTAAGGGTTCCTTTAAGGGATCTATAGGGTTCAGGGCTTCGGGTTTAGGGTTTAAGTTAAAGGTTTCGGGTTTAGGGCTAGATTTAGGGTTCAGGGCTTCGGGTTTAGGGTTAAAGTTTAGGGTTTCGGGCTAGTTTTAGAAGGATTTCGTAAGGGTTTAAGATTGTTGAGGAACTTGATTCGCGATGCCATAGCTAGGAAACTATGTTATCTACCATAGATCCCCATTATGGTAAATTAAACCTTAAACCCTAAACCCTTAAAGGAACCCGTATAGATCCCTTAGAGGCGCCCGTATAGACTTACAGATCCCTTAAAAATGAGTTCCCCCGCAAGAACCCAGGATTTCTCGCCTTCGCCGGCAGAAGATTTGGATCGTGGTCCTAAGATCTCTGCCGAGTTCCGCGATCTGGTTGAGCGGCTTGTGCAGCTGCACGTGACTGAGCTGTCCGCGTGCAAGACGGAGTCAGGCCGTTGCCAGCTTGACTTTGGGAAACTTTAGCATGCCCCTTTTTGTGGTCCGAGAGAAGTAGCGATACATGAATACTTTCGGGAGCCCAGCACCGCAACCCAGGTTATGGCCACATCCAGGCTCCAACTCAGCCGAAGCCTTCGCGGTTGAAGAACCGGAAGCCTCAGAGAAGGCGTTCCATGAACGCGGAGGACGTCTTGACAGCCTGGGACAATGAGTACAACAACGACAACGGCAACATGAACCGTCCTTTCCAGATACAGACGACAGCGGATTTCAGTGAGTCTTTGACAACGTCGAAGAACACGAAGTCATCCAAAGGTGGAGAGACTATGCCCTAAAAACCCTGAACCTTCGACCGAACTGAAGCCCTAATCCTTAAATCCTGCACCCCCAACTCTAATCCCTAAACCCGAAGCCCTAACCCTTATCCCTAAACCCTAAACCCTAAACCCCTATCCCCAAACCCTAAACCCCATCCCTTCTAAACCCTAACCCCGCCCAACAGGTGCAGAGTCTGGACCTCCCGTCCCATACGGTTGGAGGCGGCGCCCGACGTATGAGGAGTTCCAGGACTTCCTGCAGTCCAGCAAGTTTGAGGCGACGGGGTGTAAGGTTTTCAGGGTTTTCGGTTTCTTCTTGATTTTTTTACTGTTTTTTTGAGGGTTTTTGGGGATTTAAGGTGTTAGGGCTTTAGGGTTTTTTGGGTTCAAGGGGCCTTTTGGGTTTGAGGACTCTCCAGTGTCCCTAAACCCTTAACCCTGAACCCGAGCTTTGGGCTTTAGGGTTGCAGTAAGGGCTTGGCTTCTCGTTCCTTTTTGCTGCCGCGACGAAGATGACCTAAATCCTGAAACCTAGACCCTGAAACCCGGACCCTAAACCCCAGAACCCAGACCCTAAAGCATCATCGTAATTCTGCGGCTTGAAGCCACAGTGTAACAGCCCCGTTTTTAAATCAGAGCTTGCTAGAGATTCAGGTTTTGGGTTTGTGTCCGGCCGCCCAAGCTATGGTTTTCCATGCGGTAGCTGGGGCAGCGATCAAAGCCATGCCTGGCCCTAGACCCTAAATCCTTCTCCCTAAACCCTAAACCTTAAGCCCTCAACCCTAAACCCTTCTAGAACCCCAAGCTGATCCCTAAATGCCGCAGATCCTGATGACTTCAGTGCTGGGCCTTCACGTGCTCTGGATGGCGATGGAGCTGCAACTCTACGGCTCTTTGATGGGCAGCCGGGATGCAGACGGTAGGGTTGAATGGTTCCTTTCGGGTTTCAGGTTGAGGATTGCAAGTCTTAGGGTCGTAGGGTTCAGAGGTTCGTTGATCAGGGGTGCTTCGATCTTCGAAAGGTGGTGTGTCCCAGACCCTCGCAACTCGAAATGGCTTCTTAACATCGAACATCCCACATTCTCTCTTCTCTTTCAAAACCGAAGTCTAGATACGCAAACCTAGACGATTTAGGGTTTAGGATTGTATCTGTCATCCCTGAGTACTGAAGAGTTTGACAGCATCAGAACATCATGAGCTACAGCCAATACCCAGACGCCGGGAGAATCCAAAAAGTAGATCCCTTAATCGGGGTTCCTGTAAAGTACCCTTAGTAGTATAGGGCCTCAAATCAGGGGATCTAGTTTCTAGATCCTCCCGGGGGTCTGGGTAGTGGTGTCCCGATAATTCTCTAACCCGCAACCATGGAGCCGAAACACAAATTCTACTTGGAGGGGCTGTGGACTTAGTAAGTAGGTTATAAGTCGAGTTATAAGTACCCTACATGGAGTTACCCCAATTTATAACCCTACTTCCAACCTACTTACCAAGTCCCTGCCCCTCGAAGTATTCCAACGATCTAACCAGGGTTTAGGGGTTTTTGGGTTTTACGGTTCATGCATTGCCAAACTGCGCAGGACCCTACTGGGTTCCTTGGGTTTAGGGATGAGGGTTTAAGTGTTTGGGTTTCGGTGCTATAGACAGAGGGTGTTTTCTCTACCTGTGCTCTTTGAACCTTCTGTTGATGATATAGATCCTCCATTACCTTACGGACCCTAAACTAAAGAAATTTTGGTATCATCCCTATTATGGGTACTGCATGCAGGATTTATGTCGTCAACCGTTCCTCAATTGCGGGCCTTTGGGTTTGCTCACCGGAGCCGTGGTAGGCTTACAGGAGAAACCCTCAAAGAAGCACTTGAAGGCCCTCCTTAAAGGAGACCCTAAACCCTAAACCCCTAAACCCTAAACCCTAAACCGTTTTAGGGTTTACCCTAAAGGTGGCCTTTTTCAAGGAGCTCTTCCACTATAGAACCCTTTCTAGATCCCTTTAAGGAACCCTTAAAGGACCCTACTATAGTACCCTAAATGGTAAAGCCTTTGATGACGACGTGAGGCCTTGACCTTGGCATCCTTGAGACCAGTGATGTGCCGAGATCTGACTGGCATCACTGCGACGTGGGCCGAAAGTTTTGTGGGGTTTAGGGTTTGGGGTTCTCGGGTTGGTCAGCTTAGAGGCATTAGGGTGTAGGGTTCTCGGGTTTTTGGGGTTTGCGGTTCCTTGAGGTTTCAGCAGGCTCGAGGGTTCCGAGGGTTTAGGGTGACTTGAGGGTTTAGTTCTTTGTGATCCCATATCTAGTACCTACGATTCTTGGTAGGGTGACTGCATTGAAAGTTACTTATAAGCCCCAATAAACGGTATTTATAACAATACTTACGAAGTGCATCATAGATCCTTAACTGAATCCCTTTAAGGAACCCTTTAAGCACACCCGTAACTTACTCAGCCCCATCAACCTATAATACTTGCACCTTTCTTGGTTCCTTCACCCAGTGAGCAGAAGGTTTACTTAGAGACCAGCGGATTTAGTAAGTAGGTTGTAAGGAGGGTTATAAGTACCATGAATGGAGTTAAACCCCTAAACCCTAAACCCTAAACCCTAAACCCTAAACCCTAAACCCTAAACCCTACCCTAATTATAGCCCGACTTATATAAGTTGCTTACTAAGTCCCTTGGGGGCCTCGACGTAGGGTTTAGGGTCTGGGGAAACCTGTAGGGTTTGGGGTCTTTCGTTTAGGGTTTAGGGTTTAGGGTTTAGGGTTTTGGGTTTTGGTTTAGGGGTTCAAGGCCTGTGGTTTCCTTGCCCAGCCTCGGTTTCGTCGGAATAATATGCATTCCTTAGTATGGTAACTTCAGTCGTAGACCCTAAACCCTTCAAGGAACCCTTATAGATCCCTTAATTGAGCACCGACGGCAAGACCAAAGTCCCACCCAGAAACAAGAAATCTCTGGCATCATGCCTCTTTTGTTTAGTGTTGTTCTCTAGTATGGTTGGTGCTGTTGCTGTCTGAGTTCTTTAGGACCCGGTAAAGGTTTTAGGGTTGAAGGATTTATGATTTGGGGCGTTAGGATTGGGCTTCATGGTCCAATGCCAGAAAGCAGGGGTTCAAGGTTTAAGGCTTTAGGCAAAGAGGGCGCTGAAATTCACGGTCATAGCATGTTATACCCAATTGGCTGTGTTGCAGAAATCACAGTTATTGCCGTTACTATATAGTATACTGTCGTTAATGTTACTTTACGCAACTGCAGCTGGAAGATTCCCGTGTCCCCCAAACCAAGCCTTCAGGAGGATCGTGAACGCAAGGGCTCCAGGGTTCAAGGTTTAGGAGTTTAGGGTTTGGGAGCTCAGGGATTGAGAGTTTGTTTGGGGTTTTGGGGTTTGGGGTTCATATGGGCTTTAGGTCTAAGGGGCACCAATGGTTGAACCATGGCCCCACAGTCGGAGCACTGAGGGGAAACCGTCTTCCGCTACGGCGACACGGCCTTCACGATCTTCTTCACCATGGATGTGGTAATCCGGGTGAGCATTCTTAAGCTGAAGTTCTGGAAGGTGGGTTGGCCTCGAACATATTTAAGAAAAATACAAGGCTCGTAAGGTTCTAGAACGGACACAACATGTTGTAAGGTTGCAACAGATTGATGAATGTTTGTCTTAAACTTACATTCCCTTAGGCTGATATTCTGAAAGGTTGGGGGCTGATATACTTCTCCTGGGTCGGGTGTTGCGGCGCTGTAACGGTACAGGACAATGCCTTTCCTCTCCACCGTCATTTGCTACATTTCGTTCACTGTCAGTATCTGCTCTGTCCCTGCCAGGTCTGCCTGAACTATGTGGACGTGGCTGTGACCGTCGCGTCCCTTTTCGAGCTCACTTCACGCGTGTTCCTCCTACCGGTGCGCAAGGGCTAAACCCTAGCTAAACCCTTGAAGGGAACCCTGTTGTAGAGCCCTTATAGTACCTTTACAAGGAACCCTAAACCCTGCTTACTAAGTCCCATGGGAGGAAAGAGCAGGGAGAGCGCAAGCGAGAGAGACACAGAGGGAGAGAGAGAGAGAGAGAGAGCAGGGCCCACTTAAGCTTTCGAGTGACGAATTGAGCTAGAGGGTCCGTCGTAGTAGGAGGAGGAGGAGTAGTAGTACTTGACTAGCAGCAGTAGTAGTAGTACTACTACTACGACTACTTCTACTACTACTACAACAACCTTAACCCCACATGACCTACCTTTCCAGGGACTTATATAAGGAAATCATACTGGTGGGGCCCTAAAAAGGTAGGTTCGTCGGGTCCAGGAACAACTACTACCATGCATTATTTCAAGTCCACTTGGCCTGGGCTTTTCTCATTCTACTCAACCATTTGTTGTCGCTCTCGAAGCGTTCAGCCTTAAGCCTTAAATCCAACCCCCCCCACCTTGAGCCCTAAGCACACGCCTTGAGCCCTAAACAGCCCAAAACCCGAAGCCCTAGGCCCTAAACCTGAAGCCTCTAACCCCTAACCCCTAAACCCTGAACCCTGAATTCTAAATTCGAAACCCTGAACCCTAAACCCCAAGGTGTAGCCCCAACCCCTAAACCCCTGACCCTTTGTCCCTGCAACCTGGAAGGTGAACCCGGTCCTTTTCCGGCTACTTCGGATTTTCAAGTTGGCACGAGCTCTTCGAATGGCGGCTCGTCTGCTACTCGGGGTTCAAAGGCTTCGGATTTAGGATCTAGGGAGTTAGGGTTGTTTTGGTGGTTCTTCCAGGGTTTTGTTGCCACATACAGGCAGCAAATTTTCGGTAAGAAATCAATCCTAAATCGGCACCTTGGTACCGAAAACACTTCGAGCAAGATCGGTGGGGTGACTGTTCGCTTTTCCGTGAAAACCTTGCGCAGTAATCCCCAGAACTCGCCACAGTAACCAGCAACGCACCATTACCAGCAATCTTAAACCCTGAACCCCAACAGCTTTGTGGCACCAAACGCATTCATTCTAGTTCTCCCATTGGCAGCCCGCTTTCAAGCTTGTGTGCAAATCCAACGCAAACGAAACCCTCACCCTAAACCTTGAACGGTAGTCGCTTCTTTACGCACCTGCTTGGGAAACCTAGTGAGGCTGCCAGCACCGCACAGCACTAGGGTTTACGTTTACCGGCTTTTTTCTTGTCCTCCTCTTGCTGACCCAACGGAGTTCGTTGGGACTTGGGCACCGGAGGGTGCACCTTTTTCGCAACAGGTGACCATTCACCTGGGCCACCGTCCCCCGAGCGTCAGAAGTGTCAGGCAGCTCATATCCCAAGAGCCCCCATCTTCACAGACTCTACTTGGACCGTTACTTGGAGGGGCAGGAGACTTAATTAGTAAGTAGGTTGCACGTAGGGCTTTAAGTTGGGGTATCTAGATTTAGGGTACTTGTAACTCTGTTCACCTACTTACTAAGTCCCCAGCCCCTCCAAGCACAGAACGGCTGGCGGTACACTGGGCATCGGGATGGTGGGAACAGTCTACTGTCGAAACCCCCATTGTAAGCGCGGGGAGATGCGAAGGCAGGCCCGTCGCAGCCTTTCTGTCGTACGTCGTACGTGCTAAGTACAGTAGAAGCCAGAAAGTTGGAACATCAGTCCTCAAGGTAAAGTATAGGGAATCCTAGCACTAATTATCCTTAATCCATGTGCCAACTTACTGGGATCCACTGTAACATGTCACGAAAGCAAGCCTAGCGGAGGCACCTACCCAGAGCGTTAGCTTCTATCTATTGGTGGTGGTGGTGTGTGTGTGTGTGTGTGTGTGTGTGTGTGCGTGTTTGGGCTCTAAGCCAAGGGTGTTGATGCGTCATGAAGACGGTCTCTTGTGTGCCGTCAAGTCTGCATTGAAGTCATGCTTTTTCGGAAAGCAGGAGGCTTGAGGTGACAGGACTCAAGCCAACGAAGACACCTGTCTGTTGAGTGTGATATGATCCTGAGACGCTGGGATCACGTACCCGCCTCGTCTCGGACCACGATGGACCGCAGCAAAAGGCAAGAGGCTAAACGCGGCTAAACGGAAGACCTCATCCATCAGACAGCCCTGAAAACGTAGGATGGACCACTGCGCACCTGAGATCGATGTTTCCTGAAATTTGAGGTTGCGATTGGGTCGTGTACAAGTAGCATTGCCATGAAAAATGTGTATCGGTCTCCGTGTGTGCGTATGTATACAATATGTGTGCAATTGTGTATGTATATGTATATATATATATATACACACATACATACATACATATATTTATATATACACATGTGTGTGTGTGTGGGTATGTGGGTGTGATATGCAAGGTGGTGAATGAATCTAGTCTTTCTGCGATGGTACAACTGTGGGTAGGCTATTCTCAGGTTGCTATACTTCTTGACTTCAATGGCTTGCGAACCTTAAATTCTCGTATGGCTCCCTGAATTTCTGCGTCCCAGTCCGCAACCCCCAAATGCATTATAATTCGTTCGGGTAGCAAAGCTGTCATTTTTCATGCTTACGAAGACTTTTGGATTCCCACAGATTGAAGCAATGGGACTTGGAAATTAACATGAACACATGAATCTCAGCCATCGAGAGTATGCAAGTCACGGATATGCCGAGGTGACCATGACGAACGTCCTGTCATCTCTCCAATTGCTCATCAAATGTTTGATGGCGAGTATCGATATGCTCTTCTGGACGTTCTGCTTGCTTACCTTCTTGCAGTGCGTGGCGGGCATGATCGTCAGCACACTCTGCCGTGACTTCATTGAGAACCCAGATTTCCTCCTCGCGACACGTGAAGAAGTGTACCGCTATTATGGTAGCTTTACACGCATCTCGGTCCACTTTGATGGTAGCTAGTTGTTTTGCGAGAGAAGATGATTTGTTGTGACGCACGAAACAGAACATGCTTCCCTGAAGCATAAAAATCTGAACCCACAACCTTCAATCCAAACCCTCAACCTAAACACCCCGTAGTGTAATTCACGCCAAGAGCTTGTAAGGTTTGGTAATTAGCCTATAACAAACATGTCCGGGTACTTCTGTGCTTTTCAAAAACTGTTGAGGTACTTTTTTGACGATGTTTGAAATATTATTCGCTAACTGGGCCCCACCCTGTCGAGTCCTCTTGGACAACGTGAGCGAACCTTGGGCGGCAAGAGCTTACATGTTTTGTTTCTTGCGTGGAAATCACCACAAGCATCTCTAGTTCAAGAGTTTTGCTCGATAGCAGGAGCAGAACCACAGAACAGATCAGCAGCACGAGCTGTGCGACTCAGGAATGGTTCTCTCTGTTTTTCCTGGTTTATCGATGCATCATTGGATTTGCAGTGTTGCTCGGTTGCCAAACGGGTAGAACCGCTGCAGCCCGTCCTGAAAGCAGGCATCGAAGATGTTGATGGTTGGGTTTAGGGTTTAGGGTTTAGAGAGAGCTCAGATGTGTTGTTCCGTGATGTTTGTGTTGCACAAGTAAGTCAACTGAGGTTGAATGTCGTAAATGCGGTCTTCGTGCAGCAGACCATGAAAACAGCCAGCTTCGACGAAGAGTTGGCCTTCAAGCAAAAGGAGAGGGACGTCATAACCTACACCAACAAAGTTCGAAGGTGGGGCCCTTTTGGCACTAAGGGGTCGAAAGCTCGGTACCCTAACTTTGAAGATGAGAAGACCATGTGTGCCCGTCGTGAACGTAAAACTTGCAATATCAGATAGGACTCAACTCACAAATCTCCCGTAAGCCCAACTTTCAAAGGCCGACGTTTTTCTTTCAAACTGAAGCACACCACTGTAGAATTCAAGGTGGCCTTGAAAGCATTTGAAGACTGTTAACCGTATCGCCCTGCTAAACTCCGCCCAGGAGGACCTTCGAAAGGTTAAACGACCCAAAAAGCCGTTATGAGCTGAGCTTCATCCCTATGAATCGCGGTCCACGTCCTGCCATGGGAGGCTGTTTCAAACCATGGACGAGACAGGGGACGGAACGCTGAATTTCGAGGAGTCGTCCATGCCGTCGGAAATCCTGAGCCCGAAGCCCTAAACACCCTCAAACCGAAATCTTAACCCGTGAAGAATTGGCGTTATCGGGTTGCGCTGGTGACAAAGCCTTGAAACTCCAAGAATCCTCCCTGAAGGGTACCGTGCTGACATGTTGCACATGTCATTCCTTCATTCCTCAGTAACGTAGTCGTAAACTTCTACTTGGAAGAGCATGGGTAGCGAAAAAGAAGTAGGGTTATAAGTTATTGGCTAGTAGAGTCAAACAGCCCGACGGAGATGACGAGTTGGCTTTTACGTCTTGCCGGCTGGCCCACCCTTCCTTTCGCAGGGCCTACTGTCGAGGTCCGAATAGGGCTTAGGGTTCAGGGTTTGGGTTTAGGGTTTGATCCGCTTGCAGCCTTATTCCACATGTTGAGAGTTTTCATGCACCAGTCAAATCAGCATAAAGCCTTATTCTGACCATTTGCCCTCAAACAGCCCTGAGAGAAAGCTCCCAACCTCCATCACCCGTTCCTTGCTCAAGCGATGAAGCTCCTGCAGCCCGGACCCTGTACCTTCGGGCATACTCTAAAGGGTTCTTGGGTTGTGGAACTAGGGTTTATTGTTCAGGGTTTGTTTTTAGCGGCTGTTGGTGAATCTCTGGCAACTTGGAAGGCTGCCTCCAAGCTGTTGCAGGGGTTCCCTGTTTTCTACCACAGTATACCCCAAAACCGTATTCTGCTTATTAAGGCCCCTATATTATAGTACCCTTTAGACTTTCGACCCCTTATAGTAGCGCTTATAGGCCCCTTTAAAGGAACCCTTTTTAAATTCCAGGGCCCTAAACCCTGAACCACCCTGCACCCTAACACCCAGAGTTTAGGGCTTAGGACCCCTGAATCCTAAACAAAGAGACCCGAGATATATAAAGCCCTTCAAGGCAACCTTGAATGAATCAATAAAAGGAACCCTTCAATGAACTGCCATAAACCCAAAACCCTGCATCCTTAATTAACTCTAAGTCCTAAATCCTACACCGCAATACTAACCAGGAGTTCTCCAAGCTCGTCACATCGCCCAAGCTGAAATTCTGGATGAGTCAGCTGGAGCTTCTTGGCCTTGGATTTTACAGTTTTGGATTCGCTACGGTATAGGATTTTCACGATTTAGGAATCAGGGTCTCGGGGTGTTAGGGATCTTTAGGGGTTGGGGTTTAAAGTTGAGGGGCTATGTGGGTGGTTGTCAAAGTTAGGGTCCTTTTGTGGGGTACCCTAAAAAATGGGTGCCGTATTACAATAGGGACCCAAAAAGGGGACCATCATGTTGACAACCACCCATATGGCGTTTAGTGTTTAGCGTTCAGCAATTATGTCTTAGGGTCGGCTTTGCGGCTTTGTATTTGGGGAGTAGGTGTGGCGCGTGGGGTGGGCCAACAGGGGGCTAAACCCTACACCCTAAGCCCTAGATCCGAAACCCCGCAACCTAAACCCTAAACGGGTTACGCCAGCCTTCGTAGCAGTGTTGCCACGACAGACGGGAAAAGCGACTACACATGGGTAGTCCTCTAAATCGAGGTCCCTCAATACATCCTTGTAAAAGGACGTTGAAAGGGACCCCAACTTTCTTGGAGGATCATGGGACTTAGTAGGTAGGGTTTAGGGTTCCTCTTAAGGGTACTATAGGGCTCTACAATGAGGTTCCTTAAAGGGAGCTATAAGGGTTCTCTAATGGGGATCAGGGGGGTTAGTAAGTATGGTTATAAGTACCTTCATTGGGGTTATAAGGAATTAAAATAGAGTCTCCCCAAAAAACCCATGTTCCTTTAGGTAGAGAGCTACCCACAGAGCACGTCGTTGGCTCTTCGTGCTTGGTTCTCTGCAGGTCGATGAGTCTTGAAGGTTGCCAGCTCCGAGATATGAGCCCTAAACCCTAAACTGAGCTCGAAAGGTCTACCGTGACGATGGGGTCTGCGGTTTCTGCCGATTTCGGGTCATCATCATTTCCTGACTTTCATCGCATTGCCATCATGTTAGCATGGTGGACGGAGTCGTTTTCCATTTACCAGCCAGAGGAGGAGACACGAGGGGAAACCCACAGCATCATCCGTGCATAGGGCTCGCTAGAGCAATTCGCCCCAAACACTCCGAACCCTAAGCCCTGAAGTTCCGGGTCTATTGTTTAGGGTTTGGGGTTCCAAGCTCTGGAAGCCATCCGGGAGTTTCCGAAAATTAGGGGGGTACCTTATGTAGGGGTCCCTATAATAAGGATCCTACTATGTAGGGTACTCTATTAGGGTCCCCCTATTTCGGAAACTCCCATATAAACGCCCCCAAAGCCCCATAGCATGGTCCTGTCATCGATGAGCAAGGGCCGCCTCATCATGTATGAAAACCTTAGGCCGCTGAACCCGTCTAGGGTTTGGGGTTCGGGGGATTTGGGGTTTAGGGTTTCTAAGCCCGAATTCCCAAACCCAAAAGACAATTGTCTCCGAAAGCCCGCAAGAGCACTGAACTCTGAACCGTTGCACTCCAAGCCCCAAGCTCGACGTGGTTAAAACTTAAAATGTAAAGCCAGGGAGTCTAGGTTCTCTTGAAACCCTGAACCCGAAACCCTAAACCATAAACCCGAAACCCAATGCCAGGCTGGACTATCACGACCTCTTGAGTCTCTTCGAATTTCTTGATAATGGAGACGGGGAGATCACACTCAGCGAGTTCATCGAGGTGGGGCAATCAGGGAATTTTGGTCGAAAATCGGGGCTGACTTTCACCCTAAGCCCTAAACTTCAAAACCATAAGACCGTAAATCCCAAAACGCACCCTAAAACGCTAAACCCCAAGAAAGGGCCTAGAGCTAAGGCCCAAAATGCAATAATTAGGATCGGGATATCCCATATAAACACCCCTTATAATGAAGCCCAATAAGGTAGGGATACCCCCATATGAGTTTCCGATGTCCAGCGTCGGACCCTACCATCCGGTGGCTTTCGGTTTCGGTGATTCCGGGTGCATGCGCAGAGAGCCCAATACCCCTTAATTAAAGAATATGCCTAGGATTCCTTTGAAGGGATCTATAGGGTTTAGGGTTGAGGGTTGAGGGGGTTCCAATGCCCCTTAATTAAGGAATATGGCTTACATTATATAGGGCTCCATAATAATGATTTGAGACATATTCCTTAATTCGGAGGTATTTTGAATCCCTCAACCCTAAACCCTAAAGATCCCTTCAAAGGAACCCCAGGCCTCTTCCTTAATTCGGGGTATTGGGCTCTCTGGGTGATTTTGTTGTGAATCTAGCAGCTCTGAAGGGTTCCCTTTGGGTTTGTCATAGGGATCCTTAGGGGTGTAGGGGGAGGGGGGGTAGGGGGCCTTAAGGCCCATAATAAGGACTAATGAGGGTCTATTTAAGGAAATATAGTCCCCTACACCCCTCCCCCCTACACCCCTAAGGATCCCTATGAGTTTGATAAAGGCTTTAGGGTTGAGGGTTTGGGGTTTGGCGGTGAGGGTTTGGGGTTTGGGGGTTCAGGGTTAAGGGTTTGGCGTTTATGGTTGAATGTTTGGGGCTTAGGGTTGAGGGTTTGGGGTTTAGGGTTCGGGGTTTGGTTTTTAGTGTTTGGGGGTTTGGGTGAGGGCTTATTGTATTGAAAAGGGGCCTGTACTGGGTACTGGAAGGGGTCTATCGTTTGGGTTCTATACGTCAGGGTTCCCTTTAAAAGGGGTGTGTAAGAGTTCCCTTTAAAAGAGGCCTGTAAGAGTTTCCTTTTAAAAAGGGTATGCGGCTTACTAGAAGGGATCTACTTATGTTCTATAACATAGGGGAGTTGATGCTTGGGATATGTGTTGGCAGTGGATTCTTGATAGCCAGATCAGGAACCCCAGGGAGGATATTCTTAGCTTCCTGGGTTTCGGGCTCTGCGATTTCTGACCCAAGCCTTGAAAAATCTAACCCCAAACCCCAAGCACTAAACCCTAAACCCTAAACCCTAAACCCAAACCCCAAGCCCTAAACCCAAAACTACTTGAAGAACCCTTAAACCAGCCCTCAAATGCACCCTTCAAGGAGCCCTCAAGGGGAAGCGCTTATCTTTACAAGAATCCTTGGTCTTGTGCCAAACTATAGTAGAAGCCAGAAAGTTGGAACATCAGACTCCTCATGCCCTTAAGGTAAAGTATAAGGGATCCTAGCACTAATCCTCCTAAAGCCATGTTCCAACTTTCTGGCTTCTACTGTATACTTCTACTTACTCATAACCCCAATGAAAGCACTTGTAATCATACTTACTAAGTCCCATGATCCCCCAAGTATAGTACCCTTACAGAAACCCAAAAGAGGCCCTTCTAGATCCAATTAAGGAACCCTTCTAGATCCCTTTAAGGAACCCTTCTAGATCCCTTTAAGGAACCCTAAAAGGAACCCTGAAAAGGCTCTCCTGAGTTTCGTGCCTTGCCAGGGTGCGACTCGCCTGCGAGGTCAGGCCAAGGCGGGTTCGCGCAGCTTCAAAGCTCGGCTGTTCTTTTTGTGGGTTCCTTTAAAGGGATCTACAAGGGATCCTTGAAGGGATCTATATTGGGGTTTAGGGTTTTAGGGTTTAGCGCTTCGAAGTTCAGGTGGTTTAGGGGTTAGGGTTGAGGGTTTAGCACAGCACCTGCACACCCCACCCCCCTTTATCAAGAACACGACGAAAGAAACCTGCAAAACCCTTGAGCTTCTTGACGCTGCAACCGTTGGTGACGGTTTTGGAGGGTTGGATCTGCAGGCTAAGAGCTTGTAGTTTGGGGTGTTTTGGCTTTGAGTTTGGGGTTTAGGGCATTGAGTTCAGGCAGTGCGATCTTCGTGTGGAGTCGTGGAGGGCCGGGGATTTAGTATGCTTAGTAGCTGAGTGGATACACTTTACACTTTTTGGGATAATATTACCCACTATAAAACTAAAAACCTGCAATTTTTGGGGCTTATCATGCAGGATTTTGTCCATCAGCAGTATGGCGCCCTTTCTTTAAGAGCTGCAGGCCTTGGATGTTTGGCGGCTGGAGACGAAAGTGGCTCGGATGGCGCATGGGGTTTAGGGTTTAGGGTTTAGGGTTTAGGGTTTTAGGGTTTTAGGGTTTAGGGTTTAGGGTTTGCGGTGTCTGATTAGTCTGAAGAGACATCGTGGCGTGACCACACTTCAAGCTTGTACATACAAAGCAATAGCTTATTAAGTCATATAGTACATACAAATACGTTTACATATACATACATGCAAGTACAGCAATACAAAACAAATGCGTATAGCTACACACAAGCACATGTAGGTAATCAAAATTGTACATAAATAAAGGTATCTAGGATGTGTGTGTATATACATACATATATATATATACATATATATATGTTTGAATATAATACATCTACTTATACACACAGGTGCTTAAACACATAAATATGTATATATATATATATATATATATACTGTATATATAGAGGGTTATTCTAAAAGCCGCATGTAAACTACTTAGTAAGCTGTAAGTGTAGCGATCATGGTCTTGGTTTGTGTAGTCCAATTGTCTGAAGGATCGTGTCTTTAGGTTTAGGGTTTAGGGCTTAGGATTTCGGGTGTTTCAGGAGTCAAGTTACTGGTGGATGGGCGCTTAGCTAGCCCTACTTCAACCCTAAACCCTAAACCCTACCTGGACCCTACGGAGCCTACCTTTCTAGGGTTCCCTAGTATGATTTCTTTATATAAGTCCTTAAAAAGGTAGGTTACGTGGGGTCAAGGTAAGCCTTAAACCCCAAACCCTCAACCATGTCTGGGTTGGGAGTTTCTCCTTGAGGACCCTGGGTTCGGGGTTACGGCTCAGGCCAGAAATTTATCGCAAAGTCTGTACTCCTTTAGGCTAAAACCTGTGGCCCTAAACTAGGTACCGGGTCGTTGGGCTAGAAGTGCAAAGAAATCTCAAGTCTCCATACTGACGAAAAGGAGCCCTAACCCGAAAGTCGCAGGTCTTGTCAGACCCAGAAAGAAGCCGTCATAAATCCCAAACCCCGAGCCTCTAAACCCTGCGCCCTAGACCCTAAGCCTCTAAGCCCTAGCATGCTAAACCGTCAAGCCTAAAGCCCCAAACCCACTTGTAGAACCCTTATAGGCCCCTTGAAAGGAAACCTGTATAGATCCCTTTAAAGGGAACCCTCATAGATCCCTGCCAACCCTTATGGATCCCTTCAAGCCTTTGCAGCCTTGAGGTGGAACTGCTGTTCGAGGATATCCTTGGCAGGCTCGCAGGGACCCTTCATGGGGCTGAGGCTTTGTAGGGTTTAGGGTTTAGGGCTCGGCGCAGGGTTTAAGGTTCAAGGTCTAGGGTTGAGAGGAAGATTCTTGCAGTGCTGTCACTCAGGTGGAAGTTCTCGCTGAAGAGCTGATACATGCGTGGGCCCCACTTCGGCAACTGGGCTCAAGTTGTTTAGGGTAGCCTCCTCTCTCGCCATGGCCGATCTAGAGGACCTAGTTTACTGCCAGCTGATTTCGGAGTCTGGAAACGTGCCCATCTGTGGATGGGTTGTGGCGAAGCTTTCCGAAGACTTAGTGATTGCAACGGCTGGTGCAGCCGTGGAATCCTTAGAGCAGAAGCTGGTGGTGAGCGTAGGTGACGTGCAAGTTGGAATCATTCGATTGCCTGGCTCTGCTGCCTCCTTGAGTGTACCCACGCGCTGGAAGGGCCTCCGTCCCGCTGCTTTGCCTACTTTGAGTGTTTCTCAGGCGGCATGGAAGAAGACCAAGGACGCCCCGCCCGAGAGCAGCGACACTTCGGCCGCAGAGGCGGCCCCGCGCCGCAAGAAGGGGCTAGAGGCGGACCTTGCGGGATTGACCGCGCTTTTCGGAGGAAAGGACGGAGCGGCAACCGACGACGAGGACGACGACGAGGAGGACAGCGAGGAGGAGCTCTTGCTGACCAAGGGACCGAAGCATCGTTATCTTCCGCCGGGAGGTGCTTCGTCCGGCGACCTGGTGAAGAAGGAGAAGAAGAAGAAGAAGGAGGACGGGCCGGCCTTGATGCGCAATCTGCTCAAGCAGGGCATTGAAAAGGGCCAGACCGCCAACGACCTAATGCCGATGATGATGATGGCCATGATGCTGGACCGGGACCGCGGGGAGCGAAAGAAGCGGAGATCAAAGGCCTCCGGTTCCTTGGATCCCCTTGGTGGCTTGGACTCCGAGAGCTCAAGCGACGACGATTTGGGCAAGCGAAAGGACGGCATGAAGGCGATCGCCTCCCTGCAGAAGATGCACCGGCGGATCATGGAGAAGCCGGGCAAGATCTGCGAGGAGTTCGAGCGCGAGGTTATCGAGGAGCTCGGCGTGGTGAAAGGCCAGGCCTGGACGTTGAAGGACTTCCTTCGAAAGCAGAGCTGGGGCAAGTTCACAGGGATTTACCGTTGCGCTTGGATGGATGTAGCAGTGTACGAGTTGCTGAGGGCCAATCGTCCCGACGCCGCGGCTGCCCAGGTGATTCAAAACTTGAAAGCGAAACAGCAAAGTGTGATCCAGATGGGCGACTGGCAGGCGGCTTGGCTCCTCACAGGGCTGGCGGATCCATTGGCCAGGCGGGAGTTCGCCGGCTCCAAACAGGAAATGTCGGTGGTCAGCTCCTACCTGTCGGCCTTGCACGACCTAAAGAAGAAGGTGCGAGAAGCTCACCAGACCGGCCACGGAGAGGCAGAGGAGGAGGAGCAGGGCGGACCTGCTCGGAAGTGAACCCGAGACAACATGCTGCATGTGGGGGGGGAGCTTTGGAGGCTCCCGTCCTGAAAGGACCGAATTCAAAGTTTTCCGATTACGTTTCTTGGTTTGAGCGCGCTCAAGGTATGTTGCTGGAACGGTCCAGTTCTCAAGATGCTCCGCTCTTCCCGAGCATGCTCCCGTACCCGGAGGTGATCCTCCCTGAAGGTGTGCATCTGGAGGCCGAGCCGGCGAAGAAGTGGTTTGCCAAGACCTTTGTGAATACTTGGGTTTGTTGGGGCAACTTCGTGGCGCTGGGCTGCCCTTCAATGCGTGGAGCTTGCATTGAGCCGCGAGTAGCTTATTACAACATGGCAGATGCGAGGGTGTTTGCTGATAGGCTGCTTGGCGAGGTGGAGGAATTCACAACTTTGGACTTAGCTTTGGGAAACCTTTCCTGTGAAGGCAAGAGAGGCACCATTGAGAGTATGCTCGAGCGAGTCCGATGTACAGCGGGTGCATGTTATTCAGCTTTGGTCGGTCAGGTTGCTGCTCAGGAGGTGGCCGGGGCTCTCCCGGTTGTTGCGGCCCGTGTGGCCATTCCCAAGGAGGCTGGCACCGTGGATCCATGCAAGTGGTTGCCGCCTGACCGGGTCGAGATCTTTAGGCAGCTTCACGAGCTTCGCAAGCCAGAGTTTGCGTGGAGTGATGTTGTGGTGGCCTGTCATCGGGTACCTGCTTGTGAAGAGGCGGCCTTGGCTGAGCACTTGCTTCAGTCGAAGATGGCGGTGCTGGTGCCAGAGGAGCAGCTCCCTCGTGACAAGGCGGGGCGGCTCATGTGTGGAGGTCTGTTTAGTGTTCCGAAGAACGAGCTTGAAGACCGGTTGATCTTTGACAGAAGACCAGAGAATGCGACAATGGAGCGATTGCGGTGGGCACAGTTGCCGAACGGTGCCTGCTTCACCAGGATGTTGCTGAAGCCCAACCAGTACCTGCGGGGCTCGGGCCAGGATCTCCGGAACTATTATTACAGCCTTATGCTTCCTGATGGTTGGCTCAGGTTCAATTCAGTCGGCCGTCGGGTCTCACAAGAAGTTGTCCGGCGACATGGCGGGGATCCTCGTATTGCGTATCGCTTATGCTTTCGGGTTTTGGGGATGGGTGATGTCAACGGATGCTGTATCGCGCAGGCTGTGCATGAGGAGGTGCTCCGCAGGCGCGGCGTGCTTCGTGATGACAACATCCTTGTGTATGGGAAACCGGTGCCCGAGCAGGATCTCTGGACCGGGGCCTATCTCGATGACCTGCTGGTTGCGCTGCGGTGTACGGTGCCCGAGCCGGTGCCTTTGGATGGAACTTTTGTGCCACCCGAGCCGCAGGAATCCGATGAGGATGTGCGGGCCATTCGCGCCGCGATCGCCGGCTACGAGGAGGCCGGGCTGCAGCGAGCAGTGCATAAGGAGTTCAACCAGATCGTGGACTTCAAAGCATGGGGTGCTGAAGTGAAGGGGGTGAAGGGTACAGTGGGTGCACCCATGGAGGTGCGTCAACAGCTGTGGGCGCTCCTGGCCAAGGTGGTGTCCTTGGGCTGGTGCACTCGTGAAGTGTTGCAACGAATTGTTGGCTATGTTTCGTTTGTCTTTCAGTTTCGGAGGGAGATGTACTCATTGCAGCATCACATCTACAAGTTCATGGCAAACCTCCCGAGGCAGAAGTGGCGACGTATTCCAGGCCATGTACTTGACGAGTTGCGTAGCTTTGCCCTGCACCTTCCTTTCGCTTATTTCTCCATGCGGAAACGACTGGACCTGGAGGTGCTGGCGACCGATGCGACTCCGACTTCGGGAGGTGCGGTCACGGCCCTGGTCTCTGAGGCTTTAGCGGACGAGCTTTGGCGTAAGTCAGAAGTTCGGGGTGAGCCGGTGCGGTTGGATCGGAGTGAAGGCTTCCTCTCGAGTATTGCGCCTCCTGCGGCGCCCTCCCAGTTTGCCAGTGCGGTGGCCGAGTCCTTGCCTTGGTCCGTCATCAGCTCCTACTCGTTCCGCCAGACGTCCCACATTAATCTTCAGGAGTTACGTGCTCTTCGACGAGAAATTGTTCGTTTGGCATCAAGGAGCTCGGGGGAGGGGCAGATCAAGCTTTGCCTTAACGACAGCCGGGTAGTGATCGGAGCGGTGACGAAGGGGCGTTCCTCCAGCTATAAGTTGAACGGGCTTCTTCGGACCATGTTACCGTATCTGACTGCTGCGAATATCACCTTGGCTTTGCTGTGGGTTGAGACTGAATCCAACAGGGCAGACGCTCCTTCTAGATTCGAGTCACTGCCGGCTCCAGTGCCGGCCCCTCCTTGGCTGCAGAGTTTTGGTGTGGACGCTTGGCGTGCAGGTGCCGGCCTAGAAGTGTTTTCCCGAGCGGGGCGAATGACAGAGGCGCATCGTGCTCTGGGGTTACTTATGCTGGAGCCGATCGACTTTACTTTAGGTCGTGACGTCTTCGACTCGGACATTGAGGCCCGGCTTCGTCGACGCGAGGTGGCCTGGCTGTGGTTGGCTCCTCCTTCAAAGGGCTTCAATCGTCGGTGGTGTGCCCAGGCCGGACCGGCGATACGACCAAAAGGGGAGCCAGAAGGTGACGAGGCAGACCCGAGAACCTGGTGGGGCAATCTTTTGTGGCGGCATTCCTTGTACTTGGCCCAGGTCGCTCTCGACCACGGAGTGTTCGTCTTCTTGGAGCATCCGAGGAAAAGTTTGGCTTGGGCCTTGCGGGACACTGAGCTGTTCCAACACCGTGCAGGGATGATCAAGCATAGAGTGGATTGGTGCATGTATGGGGAACACGGGCATGATCTCTCAGTGGGAAATGCACAGAGTGTGGTGTTGTCCAATGCTCCGTGGCTGGGTTCAGTGATCCGACGCTGTGCTCAGAAGCATGTGCACCCGATCCCGGTTCGAGGCTCGAGTGCCAAAAGGTGTGATCATCCGTGGGGCTTCTGTGTCGAGCTCGCCAATGCCTACCGCAGCTGGAAGGAGGCCTCGTCGCCTCCGAAATGCTGCGCTTAGTTCGGAGTATCGCAGAGGGCTTCGGGAGGCAGGTGCGTGGCTCCTCTCGATGGCTCTTGCTTTGGGGGCGCCTTTGCGGCGCTCGTCGTCTCCAGGCCTTGTGGACCGGTGGCTGGAACGCTGCGTGGACCACGCTTATCGCACAGGTGAGAAGCTCTACCGGGTTCGACTTGGAGTACTAGGTGTGCAGCGCATCCTTAACATTGCTGGTCCTTTATTGCGCTCAACCTGGTCAGCTCTTCGGGGATGGCGAGCGCTACAACCAGTGCGATCCAGGGTGCCGATCTCGTCTTCACTGTTGCATGCGTTCCTGGTGGTGTCTTTGGCTCGTGGCAACGCCGAGGTGGGCCGTGCTCGCGAGAGGTGGTGGTCAGCAATGCTGGCAGCTTGGCTCTCTTTTGAAGGTCTGCTTCGGCCAGGTGAACTTTGCCAATTGCGAGCAGGTGACATTGATCTGCCGTTGGATAGCCTCACCGCTGCCGATGAAGGCCTCATCCTGACGATTCGGCAGCCCAAAACACGTCGGGTATACCACACTCAGTTTGTCCTTGTGAAGGAACCGCGTTTGGTCAAATGGATGGTGTGGTGGCTTGATGCTGTACCATCAGGCAGAAAATTGTTCAGGCTGGGGCGTCGAGAGTGGGCCCGCCTTCTGACGGCAGGTCTCTCAGCTCTGGGTGCAGACCAGAACGGCTACACCTTGGGCAGCCTGAGAGGAGGTGGAGCTACGGCCCATTTTCGAGCTCATGAGAATCTGGCACGCCTTCAGTATCATGGACGTTGGGCCAGGTCGGAAACACTACGCTTTTACTTGCACGAGGCGTGGGCAGCCCAGGGGGATGCTCAGCTCTCTGCATCTAGCAAGGAGCGAGTGCGCATGGTCTTGCAGCATAGCCACTTCCTGAGTGCACCGCCTCCATATTCGCTCAAGTTTCTCCTCGGCTCACATCATGGGTGAGCGGCTGCAGCGGGCCCTGCGAGAGCTCGCGGACGCGCTCCAGGAGGCGGAACAGGAGGAGCAGCAAAAGGAAAGTCGGGCTAGCCAACCAGGGCGCGGAAGTGCTTCGTCTAGGGCGACGTCGCCGGCTCCCTCTTTGGCAGGTTCGTCTTCTTCCTGGTCACGCGTGGGCGGTGCAAAAGCGAGAGCAGCGGCGACTGAGAGGGACCCGCTTCGACGGGTGCAACCTCCTGCGGCCCAGCCTCTTGAGCACGTGCCAGCCTCGGCCGTGGTGCGCTACTCCTCGGTGAACTGTTACGTGGTTCTGGAGAATCCGTTGCAGCCTACCCGGGTGGGATGGATCATGACAACCTGGAAGACGCTCGAGGCAAGCCTTCCAAGCGGGCGATTGTGCACCTCTCACGTCCGACTCCGTCGCGTCGACTCAGTGGAGGCCGCCATGGACCTGTGGAATTCCGTTCATCCGAACCATCCTTGCCCACAGCTCAAGCTGTAGATGTGACGGCCTCGACCTTGTTGCAGGCGGCGCAGTCGGCGGCTCAAAGTTTGGGGGAGCATGAAGTGGATCAAGGCTTAACTCCTGCGGAGATTCTGCAAGATCAACACAGCAGGGACTCAGCTTCACGATGGAGGGCGGGAGATGCCCGCCGTCGCATCACAGCGGCCCTTGCTCGCTTGGTCAACTCACTGCAGTCCTGGACGACGGGCTCCACGGAGCGCGCTTCGACGCGCAATGGGCCACAGCCGGTGCGCCCCCGGCCGGTGCAAGCGCTGAGGGTAGATCCCTCAACTGCCGCGGCTTCCTCGATGTGGTGGCCGCGGTACTCCTGGATAAACAAGTGGACTCTCCTGGGGCTCATGCTCATGGTCCTCTTTCCCAAGGTGACGGCGCTCGTCTTCGGCTTGATGGTGCGATTGGTACTACGTGCCCTCTCGGCCCTCATCTCGCACTTGGCTCGTGAGTTGTTCACTCAGATCTTGGAGATCACAGGGGACATTGAAGCTCAGCTGGTGCACTTCTTGAGCGTCCAGCTTGGGTTGACATCCGACTGGCATCCCCCAATGACGATGCCAGGAGCACCAGCTCCGCCGGTCTATCCGGCGTTTGCTCCGCCACCTGCGCCTCCAGCTGCCCTCCCAGCCCGCCCCATGGACATGATCACCTTGGTGCTGGTGGCCCTGCAACTTCGCAATGCCCCAGGTCTGGGGTGGGGTGGGGGACAAGGCTGAGCTTGATTTTGAGAAGGCTGTCTGCAGATTTGCTGGCCGATGAGCCCGCAATCCTTGAGAGCTTTGTCATCTTTTGATTTGTGCGGCTAGCCTGATGTGCCGATGGCTATGTTATGAACTTTCTTACACCACGATTGGCGCGCAGCCATGAGTAAAAAGAGTGGCCCGTCAGCCGCTGTGGGGCAAAGCTTCGGAGAGAATGAGAGGAAGATTCTTGCAGTGCTGTCACTCAGGTGGAAGTTCTCGCTGAAGAGCTGATACATGCGTGGGCCCCACTTCGGCAACTGGGTTCAAGTTGTCCACCACCGCCCCTCCACCGCAAGGCTGAGCTTGATTTTGAGAAGGCTGTCTGCAGATTTGCTGGCCGATGAGCCCGCAATCCTTGAGAGCTTTGTCATCTTTTGATTTGTGCGGCTAGCCTGATGTGCCGATGGCTATGTTATGAACTTTCTTACACCACGATTGGCGCGCAGCCATGAGTAAAAAGAGTGGCCCGTCAGCCGCTGTGGGGCAAAGCTTCGGAGAGAATTAGGGTTTAGGGTTGAGGGTTTAGGGTTTAGGGGTTTAATTTAGGGGTTTAGGGGTTTAGGGTCTGGGGTTTAGGGTTTATAGGGTCTAGGGTTTACTTGGAGGATCATGGGACTTAGTAAGTATGGTTATAAGTACTTAATTGGGGTTGTAAGTAAGTATAAGTATACTTACCCTAGCAATGACGCTAGTTACAAAGTCCCATGATCCTTTGAGTAGGGTTTAGGGCTTAGGGTTCAAGGTTTCAGGTTTAGGGTAGCGTAGGAACCTATTCAACCTAGGGAAACCTCTGGTTGCTTTAAGGCCATTATTCGGACTCTTCATAGAATAGTGAGAGTATTAACATCACTAGCAGTTATCATCATGATAGTTTTCAATACTGCTGTTGCTTTTGCTTTTGCTTTTGCTGTTGTTGTTGTTGTTGTTGCTGCTGCTGCTGCTGTTGTTATTGCTGCCGGTATTCGTAATATTATCTTTATCGTGATCACGGTTCCTACTTGTTTCTAGGGCTATTAATAGTAACATTGTTCTCGGTAGTGCTGCCAGATTACTTAAACCGCCCATTGTTTGTAGACCAGTAGTTCCCTTACACTGGGCTCTTGCTACCAGTGAGCTCTGCCAGGGTTTAGGTTTTAGGGTTTTAAGGGTTGGGGTTCAAGGACAAAACCTAAACCATCCACCCAAACCCTAAACCCTAAACTGGAGTACCGTAGCCTGCCCGCAGCAGGGCTTTGGAGCTCGAGCGACAGAAAACCTAATCCCTAAACCGTAGTTCTTCATGCATCTCGCCTGGCAGGCTGAACAACCCAGAAAATGGGTCAGCTGTGCAGGCTATCTTCAACCATTCCTCGCAGCTTGTCTTCAGTTAACATTGTTGCCTGTTGGGGGTTTTAGGGTTTGCTTAAAAGATCATGGGACTTAGCAACTGGGGGGCATTATTCGGGTAAGTATACATATACTTAGATATAACCCCAATTTAAGGCAATTTCAACCATGCTTACTAAGTCCCATGATCCTCCAAGGAGGGTTGGGGGTTTAAGGTTGGGGTAATTCGTGGCTTGGGTTTTCGTGTTAGGGCTTCGGGTCGAAGAGACTTCGGTTCAAGTAGATCTTTCGAAAGGGACCTTTTGTGATCCCTTTAAAGAACCACTAAACCCCTGAACCTTAAACCCTGAGCCCCACAGCCCTAAATTTTCGAGGTCCTGTGGGGTCTGGAGGCTTGGCGGGTCTTTCATCACTTTGGGTCATTAATGGGATCCCAGAACTCCAAAATTAGGGTTCAGGGTTTAGTGTTTGACTCCAAATCCTTTAATTAAGGAATGTACTAAAGGCATAGAGAGTGGACAACTGATTTTCACTTGGCCTGGCCAACGCCGTTGTCGCACGACATGAACATGGTCCACGGTTTAGGGTTTAGGGTTCAGGGTTAGGGTTTAGGGTTTAGGGTTTAACATGGTTTCGAGTTTAAGGTGTCAGGGGAGTTAAGTTTTAGGAGTTGTTTTCTTGGGCGGAGGACTGTGCAACTGCGTGCCTGGAAACCTCCGTGAATTGGGGTCTATTGCGGTGATCCTCCGAAGGGCTAGTTTTTCCGGAGCGACGGTGAACCCCTAAATCCTAAACCCAAACTCCTAAACGCGACCCTAATCCCAAAAGCCCAAGCCCACCCCAAAACCTTAAACCCTAAGCCCTAAACCCCCAAACCCCTAACCCCTAAACCTCTAAACCCCTAAACCCCTAAACCCTAAACCCCTAAACCCTAAACCCCCTAAACCCTAAACCCCCTGAGCCCTAAACCCTACGCTAGTTCAACTGTTGATCTGGCTCCAGGGGCCCCCTTGGAGGAATATGGGGCTTGCCCAGAGAGCCCAATACCGCTTAATTAAGGAATATGGCTTAAATTATATAGGGCTTCATGTTATGATTTAAGCCGTATTCCTTAATTAAGGGGTATTGGGCTCTCTGGGTGGTAATGAGGCGAAAGAGAGGCGTTCTACGTGCCCTCATCGGAGTTACCTTGCTTGTAACCGTCTTTACCTTTCGCATGATCCTTGCTGGGTTCTGGACAAGTGGATTTAACTTAAGTTGTCATAAGAAAGAAACCATATCATTTTCTTGAGATCCCTATTATGGTAATTTCAACCTTAAACCCTAAACCCTTAAAGAGACCCTTCTAGAGCCCTCAAAGGAGCCCTCATAGATCCCTTAAGGAAATTTGAATTACATAAAATCCATCAGCACGAACCCAGCTTCAGGTGTAGCGGTTCTGCTGGATCCAGTTTTTGTGCCTTCTGGCTTCGCTTTACTCTGCCAGTCCGGAGCCCTCAGCACAGAACCCCCAAAACCCTAAATCCCTAAAACCATAAAACCCTATAGCCCTAAAACCCTGAAACCCTTGAACCCCTAAAACCATTGAAACCCTAAACCCGAAGCCCTAAACCCCTAAATCCTAAACCCGAAGCCCCAGGTACAAGCACATCACCACCGCGCGACGACCCTCCTCAAACAACAATGAGGCCGGGACGGTGCAGGTTCCTATCCCTACTGAGGTTCATAAGTTATAAGTGAACTTATAAGTCCCTTAATCGGGGGGCTATAATTATAGTTATCCTTTGAACTTGGAAGACCAGACCTAAACCCCAAGACCGCGATCACACAAAACCGCAACACCCCGACGCCCAAAATCCTAACACCCTACCCAGAGAGCCCAATACCCTTTAATTGAGGAATATGGCTTAGATTATCTAGGGCTTCACCTTATGATGTAAGCCATATTCCTCAATGAAGGGGTGTTTGAATCCCCTCAACGCTAAACCCTATAGATCCCTTTAGAGGACCCCTAGGCATATTCCTGAATTCAAGGGGCATTGGGCTCTCTGGGTTCGGGATTCAAGATTTTGAGCCCAGAGGTCGCAAAACCCGTTGACTCAGGAGCTCCCAGTCATTTTAGGGTGGGGGTGGGGGTGGGGTGCTGGGGCCCCGGGTCCCTAAACCCTAAACTCTCAAAGGTGCTCCAAAAAGCACTAAACCCTGAACTCTTAAAGGTGCTCAAGCAAAAGCCCTAAACCCTGAAACCCTGAAACCCTAAACCCTAAATAACCCCGAAAACCTCGAAACCTAAAGCCTTGAACCCCTAAACCATCGGAGGGGTCACGGGGCTTCCAGGGTTCGGAGTTCGGAGGCCTCCCCCCAAAAATTCTTGATCAGATCTGCAGCTTGGACCTGAAGGAATCTACATGGGTGGCTGTCAAAATTTGGGCCCCTTTTTGGGGTACCCAAAATAGTAGGTGCCGTACTATATTAAGGACCCAAAAAGGGACCCTAATTTTGAGAACCACCCGCAGGTTTAGGGCTCCTTTTTCATGACTTCCTTACAGGAGTCGTGGGTATTGCACCGACTCAGTAACAGTTGAATAATGCAGGGTTTAGGGTTTAGGGTTTAGGGTTTGGGGTCTAGGGTTTAGGGTTTAGGGTTTAGGGTGCATAAGATAGATACATTAGGAGCTTTGTAGTAGCCCAACAATAGACCGTTGCTGTATGGGGGCAGCACCCAACATGGGTTAGGGGTTATTGGGGGTTGAGGTAGGGCCACTTCAGGGTTCAGGGGTTGAGGCTGAGAGTTTAGGGTTTAGGGTTTGGGGCTTAGGGTTTGAGGATTTTAGGGTTTAAGGGTTTAGGGTTTAAGGGTTCCTAAACCCTAAACCCTAAACCCTAATCCCTTAAATTCGAGGTTTAGTTCTTCGGTGATTTTTGTAAGGCTTTGTGGGGCTTTTAGGAACCTGGGGCTCCCTGCGGTTGATGATACAAAATCCTAGGGCTCCTTTAAAGGGATCTATAGGGGTACCTTTAAGAGCTTCCTTTAAGGGATCTATAGGGTTTAGGGTTTAGGGTTGATGATATAAATCCTGCATTACCTGAAGGACCCTAGACTAGGGGAATTATGGTATAGTCCTTGTTAGGGGTAATGCAGGATTTTGTCCATCAGCCGTAGTACAGTTGTAAGTGAGGCTGCAAAGACCCCAACAGCCATCTCTTTGAACACCTGCAAATCTCGGAAGGACTATGGCGAGAGCAATAAGGATCATCGTAGCAGCAGCTGTTTAAGGTGGAGGTGCCAGAAAGGCGGAGGAGGAACTGTTTGGACGTGGTGGTGTGCTGTTCTGATTGCCGAAGTTGCAGTTGCATAGAAGTGGTGGCGGCGGCCCCCGTGTGGTGGTGTTGTTTGTGTCGCTGTTAATGGTTGTAGCATCGGTAGTGGTGGTAATTGTGGTACTAGTGCTTGTGGTGGTAGTAGCGGCAGTAGCAGCTCGACTGTATGCAGACTGGTTTCCCAAGAGTGGTATTGTCCCGTGTTGAGGTTGTTCAAGTAAATTCGGTCGAGAATATAACAAGAAGCAGTAAGGCCTTACGACCCTGCGTCCTGAATCCCCAATTGTTCAGAAGTTTGTCTGGAAGGAGGGAGGAGCGTGAGCCAT